AACAGCGTCACCTTCAAATTCACGTATCTATTAGGACTCCAATCCAGCACAGGATATAAGCATATGCTGAGGCTTTAAAATATACAGACCCCTCTGAAAGTTGGCAGACCGTTCAAGAATTTCAATGTATCCTTTCCTTCAGTATTTTGCCAGGCTGGGCCACAGAACATCCAAGAGCACTTTGAGCACCGGGAGGACAAACTGAAACCAACTGTGCACAGCCTGGTTTTCTGCTTACATGGTTTTTTATATAGTAACATTTTGAAATGTTTCTAGACCACAATGGTATTCTTGAAGGAAGAGCAAAATACAACTTTAAGACAAACTCAGTATCTCAAGATAATGAGCAGAAAGACTGGCCTGGACATAAAACCTACCTTTCTTTTTAACTCCTTAAATAAAATGGGTTTTTAAGTTGGCTGTTTCCCTTTGACATTCAGTTTGGCAAAACTTATTTTAACCTCTAGATCCTTAATCCCTTACAGAATCTTTTTAAATTTTGTTTCTTTACCAGCACATGCTCACAATACAACACCATAAAGTTACTCAATGCTAAAAGTCTACAGATTCTCAATGGGCAGGGAGATCTTAATCAACAACTTAATTACATGGACATCAACAAAGTTATTCGAGAAATAAAAGGTTTTCAGGATGAGATACACCAAAATTATTCTTCACCTAAATTAACAGCAGTTAACAGGAACTCTGCCTTATTTTGCTAGAGATCACACTTGTTCATAAATGAGCAATCCCTGACCTGAATAACAAACACCACTCATTTCTTTTCATAAATCTATATAGGACTAGAATAAAATGGACATAAATGCATTAGTGGACAAAGCAATAGAATCACTGATGAAATTAAGACTTGGTTAAGTGCAATTTTGGCACTGAACCTTACAGCAGTCTAAATATCTCATCCTTACAGCACACTGTGAACAGTGGATTCCTTAGAGGAAAGACACTTGGGAATCACTGTGGTTAGAGCTAACTTAAGATTTATCTCCAGAGTGCAGCAGCAGTGAGCAAGCTGCTAGAAGGCACAAAAGAAAGGGGAGGTAGTACAAAGCTGGGAACAGACTCTGAGTGTTTATAGCATTAGAAGCCTCACAGACATTTCAGACTGTTTTAATTCTACTGTGAAAAATTTTCCTTTCGACTTCTTCCTGTGAGGTCTGTTATTATTTACAATTCCAAGTAAAAAATCCATACTTCCATATTATTTCTCACTAGGACTATCAAAACATCTCACAGCATTAAATAAAGCTTAACTGGACAGGAATAATTTTAAATTTACCATTGTGGACTGCAAACAGATGTCAAGAGAACTATACACATAAGTAAAGATGAATGTGAATCTGCTTAGAAATATTGGGTATTAAATCTTTCCATTATTCATATGAAAAGAAAGCATTGCTTTTATTAGTATTTTTATTTTGTAAAAAATAATAAAACAAACTCATTCAAGGTCATGGAGAATTAGATTAATTGATACATTCTGCCCTACATTTCAAAATGTAGGACCATGTGATGAGGTTAAAAATCTTCAGATCTTCAAAGTAATCTGAATTGCAATTTATAATCATGAAACTGATTCCCTCACTTTTCTAGATTTCTCTGACCACTACTTATTGCAGAGCTACAGTATTTAATTATTTAATTGCCCCTTCCTCTCCCATCAGTTTCTCTAACGGCTGTTTATACTCCTCAGAATAGCTGTGTCCAGTGAGATTACTTTATTTTTCCAGAACAGAAAGTGCAAAAGCTATAGGGGAAAATACCAAGTTAATGTGAAGTTCTGAGCACAATTCATGCATAGGAGAAAAAAAAAGAAACCTAAACCTGAGAACTGTATTCAAACTAAAAAGCTCTGTTGTTACTGCCAGAAAGTAATGGCCTCATGTAAGTTAACTATGAAGAGCAAAAGTGTTCATTTTTCAGAATATAATGAATAGATGTATACAGGGTTCTTAAGACAGAATATATTTAACTACAGCAGCACAGTAATGAAGAGTAGGCACAGTAATCAATGGCAGCATCAGTACGTGCACTGGCTTGCAGCCATGCTGCCTTTACACAGAAACAGCTAAATTCCATTTAAGCAGGCCTGAAGTGAGCCAGTAGGTAGGCAGCAGCTTCCTAAAAGGAATTATGGTGCAAAGAGAAAGGATAGCCTCAATTCAACAGGCGGCATTCTCTATATGAAATTACTGCTGTAATGAAAAGCCAGTGTTTGATTTAATTCTGAAACTTTCTAATGTGTCAAAACAAAGGTGTAAAAGATCTATTGTGATATTTATTCAACAAGTAAGCAATTTAATCTGTTGTCCAATTCAAAAACTCTGTCTTCTCTAATAAAGTTTTCTCAGTTGTTTCAGTCAGTTAGAGGAAATTTTATTTTCCTCTTTTGGATTATGATAGAGTTACAATGTTTCTACAGAGCAACTATTATTCACTCAAAGAGTGCCATTTCAGTGGCGGTGAAACAAGTAATCCCTGTAACCATTATTTACCTCCTAGAGAGCTGAGCTGCTTAGCCAGTGTTAGCAAAGCCTCTGAGATGTCTGAAGAAAGGCTACCATAGGTTACTATCAATCATGGAATATCCCGAGCCAATTCCTGCCCACGAGTCTGGCACCTCTTCCCATTAACAGCCCTCCAGTTTCACGATCAAACAAGGAGTTTTATTCCCTCTTTATTCTAGGTAACACTACCACCAGCTGTTTACAAAGCTTAACTTCAGAAACATTCTGTGTAAGAGTTTCTTGTTCTCCGGATGGTTTAACTGGAGAGGACTTTAGGCTGCTCAAGGATCATAGCCAGATCAGCAGACAGGTAAAGAGGTCAGTTTCTTTTCAATGCTTTTTGTAACTGAAATGGAAGTATTGCTCACTTCCTAGCTGCTTCTGCCCCCTAGTGAGCGCTGATTTTCACTCCACCTGAACAACCATCTGGCTGCTTTGTGAATTACACGCATACAGAAGTGCTGAACACCAAACTGTTTTCAAGAGAGAAACCTGTCAGAAGCTGGACAGTTACATTTTCTGAAGGAAATTAAAACAAATCGCAAATGGGACAGGAACAGAAACATTATCTAACACTGGCTCAAAATTTAATTTATATTTTGCCTCAGAACACGAAGGGAAAGTGGGATAGATGAGCAACAATTCTAGAAACAGAAATCACCAAATACGAGTTGGAAGTAAGAGTTGAACAGTAAAGTATGGCAGACCAGATGATGCCAATTCTAACACACCAAAGGTATTTGTTTATCAACAGTACGTCATGCCATAGAAACCCTGTATCTTTCCTGATGGGATTGTGCAAAGAACATAAGTCCCAGTGGAGTAGTCTGGGGAGTGAAAACCAAACTTATAAGAGTGATGAGCTTCACTCATTTGTTTGTTCCAGGTACACATGTACCTATATATGCAAGGAAAAATGTAGGCGTGAAGATAACAACTACCATAAGTAAAAAGCTAACACCGGAACACCAGACCAAAGAGGTAGAAACTACAAATACAAGTCTGGAATACCTTTTTTGTGTGCTTGACAATTCTATAACTATGATTCTACAGGAAAGTTGCTCCTGATAAAATAAGTGTCATGGTCTAGAAGCTGTTTTCCAGTCACATGATATAACAACTCTAACAACAACCATAAATATTTCACCAAAAGGAATCTCCTACTCAGGATAGAATGCTAAATATGGTCCTTTTGGTTACTGAAAGAAATGGACAAAATAATTTCAAGGCTGTAATTAAAGATTAATGTGTCAGAAGCAGGTAAGTGAGGAGGATGACGACATTTCCTAGCAGTTTCCAGCTGCAGACCTGCACAGTGAAGCTTAAGTTGCCTCTACCCCACCAAATGGGAATGCAACACAGGCTTCTACTGAAAGGTGAAATTAAGCAAAGATTTTAACTTCTGTACAAATAACTAATTTCTGTGGATCATTCTGTGGTCTTGGGACTGAAAGAATTCAGTACATTCAGTGTAATTCCACGTATTGCTTATGGCAAAGTAGGAGAGATAGCGACTGCAAAAGCAGAAAAGAAACTGAACTGGTTATACCAGTTTTACCTCAAAGGGAATCCCCAGTTGACTGTTCAGACAAGCTTTCCATTTCCTCTACCCCGCTAGAAATGACATGTCAATTGTTTCTGACAGCAGTATGGATAAAAAGGTCAAAGGAGAGAGAACTACCACACTAGGCAACCAAAAAAGCATTCATCTTAGTTGTACATAAACCTTGGCTTATTTGAGTGCAAGATTTACGATAAACAGCAAAACTTTTCTTTCAGAGAATTCTCGTTCTCCACTCATATTTAAAACTATTAAGATTTTGGAGTTTAAAGTTTTCATTTTTTCCTAGTGAAAACATTATCACAGATCTAAGAAGATAGAGAAATGGATGCCTAGTTTTGCAGTACACCTGTTGCTGTGCAATAGCAATGACGAGACTGTTAGAAGTGCTTACAGATTTATGGTACCCTACTTTGCAAATGTTCTAATTGAAGCACCCCAAAAGGGCCTGATTTTCAGCAGAGACAACATTTTAAAAAATTGCATCCCCTAACAGGTGTCTCAAGCTTTGTACTCAAAATCATTAGCATTATTTTAATATATCTTGTCTTAAACATCAAATAAACACACACAAAGTATTAGAATGAAAAGTCATTTTATTCACCCACTTAAGAGGCCTTCTCCATCTCATTCAGCAACATTAAAGTTTTTACAAAGCTGTAGGGTAACAACCACTGGAACACAATTAGTCTTGGGTGTTACAAAAGCTGGGACAACGCTTGCCTTGTATTTACATTTTCACTGAGTTTAGCTTTTAAGACAATGAAGTGATTGGAATGAAAATTCCCTGGTCTATCCAGAAGAGCTACAGTTCCTATAATGAAGACAGATATTGACAATAACTAAGTCAACATTTGTAGGTCTAGGACTCATCTGTCAGGTTGAGGATGCAATACAAGAGAGAATATACTTACTGAAACTTTCCACAAGGTCAAGGGCAACGTGAGTAGCAATATCCATTCCCGTATTTATGTAAGACTGGCAGTTTTTCAAAGATGAAAGTGAGGAATCCACAGAGTTGAATGAGATTCTTGCGCCACCTGGCATCTTGAAATTGTTACTCTAGAAATAACAGAGAAAACATTTTTAATGCAGTTTGCACCCAAAGAATTTGGGAGAGAAAGCAGAAGTACAGACAGCTACCCATAAAGCAGTGTCAACAGAACCACTGAAACATCAGAGAGCGGGGATGAAATCTTAACTCCCAAGATGCCAATAATTTCAGTGGAACTGCAATTCACCAGAGGTTTCCAATTCACCTCCTTTTCACTATTAAGCAGAACTACAACACAAAAAGCAACTTGCAGTTTTCATCTGCTCATTCTTATTGCTAAACTACAATGAGATTTAAACTCAGTGATTATGTTCACTTGAAAATTACTGCTCTATTTCAGGTCCAAAAAAGCCCATGTGCCCAAAAACTTGTCTGTTTTCTAGGCATATTATCAGTTAGGCTAGAAAGAAATATAACTTCTTGCATCCAATTCAGCCTCACCAAATACAAGCCTCTTTCAACAGTTGGCCCTTAGAAAAAGTAATCTAACAAAGGGCCACTTTTCTAAGAATGCATTTAACAGTAGAACATCTAGCATCATTTTTAAATAAAGCCCCACCTTACAGATGCCTACTTTCCCCAAAGATGCTACAAACTTTTACAAATGTTCCATTAGCACAGAAGAGCATCACACAAGAATCACATTTAGCTTCTTTACCACTGCCTTCCTTTCCAATACAGTCCCACAACCTAATGCCTTTCGGAGATTAACTGCTTCTCCCCTGTCGTTAATACCACCTTCAAGTGCATTTCATACATAGCATAAGCAAACTGTTCACATCAGTTGGTTTCTTCTGGACATGGACCTGTTGGAATGAGGCCAGAGGAGGGCCACAAAGATGATTAGAGGGCTGGAACACTTCTGCTATGAAGACAGGCTGAGAGAGTTAGGGTTTGTTGAGCCTGGAGAAGAGAAGGCTCCAGGGATACCTTATGGCAGCCTTCCAGTTCTTAAAGGGGGCCTACAGGAGAGATAGGGAGGGACTCTTTATCAGAGAGGGTAGCCATAGGATGAGGGGTAATGGTTTTAAACTCAAAGATGGGAGAGTTAGATTAGATACTAGGAAGAAATTCTTTACTGTGGGGGTGGTGAGACACTGGAACAGGTTGCCCAGACAAGTTGTGGACACCCTTCCCTGGAAGTGTTCAAGGCCAGGCTGGATGAGGCTTTGAGCCACCTGGTCTAGTGGGAGGTGTTCCTGCCCATGGCAGGTGGGGTTGGAACTTGATGATCTTTAAGATCCCTTCCAACTCTAACCATTCTATGATTCCATGATTCTCAAAAACTCCAGCTTCTGCTCTTCTTTCTTCATGCTTTGCCATAACTTGCTCAGACAACATGTAGGTATTAAAAGAAACATAAACCTGGTGTGCAGAATTTTATACTGTAAGTTGCAGGAGATAAGAAAAATTCTGCTTAGCTTTAGATACACCCTTGTTTAAAAAAAACAAAGGTCTTGGATAGACAGAAATACTGCATTATTAGTCCATGTAAAGAATAACTGGTAGTTCAAGGACTACACTGAGATCATATCGGGGGAGGGAGAGAACAGAATCCACAACCAAATTTAGGCTACACCATAAGTTTTATCTGAATCCTACAGAAAATACCAGGGGGATGAGTTGTTCTATCAACAACAGCTTTTGACAGGCTGTAATCCAACAGAAATCTGGAAAATATCTTCACAGAAAGGACAAAGCTTTGGCCAAGCTTTGTATACCTAAGGCTATACTCCTCCTACTACTTCTCCTGGTATTCCAGAACTAAATCTTTCTCTCACCCTAATCTGAACACAACTGCCACATTCCTCACAAGTATGATGCAGACTCTGAGACTTGAATACCTGCTGTCGTACTCTCTTCTATCCTAAGGTTTTCTTTCATACTTTTTCTTTTTTCCATTTAAAAAACGTCCTTGGCCACTCAAGACTATCTTTTATGACACCATTTTTAGGTCACGTGCTTCCAACTACATTTTAACAGTTCAAGTTCAACACTTGTACTTCTTAAATACACAAAATTGCTTTCCTCTCTATGCCCTTCTAAAGGTGCATCATGCCACAGAGGAGGCAGCAGCCTTCAATAGCAGGTCTTCATGTCAGCTCACGCTCTCCATGCCAAAAGACAGTGATTGCTACCTTTAGGTATCTTTAGAGGCTGTCAAACTAACAGCAGAAGACAAGGAAAAGGTTCCTTACAGAACTCCTTGAAAATAAAGGAAAAGGATGCTCTAAAAGATTTAGTTACAAACACTTTCAGCTGTTACATTATTTTAAAGCATCTGTTTGCCATCTTAGCAAAGTTGTTTGTATAGAACCTCTGTGATCCAAATACACACTATTAAATAGTCAGGTAAAACCATGATAGCAGCTTTATCTTTCTGGGCCCATTTAGTGAGAACCTAATTCCCTTCTTTAACTTGGTAAATCTCACTCACTGAGAAAGCCTGCTGTTCTTTTGCGAATTTCACAGGTACACACTGTGAAAGGCAGGAATCTGAAAAAAAACAAACAATGAAAAGTTAAAAGCCTTCTTCATTCTCTTGGCATTTGAGGAAGCACTGAGCAAACTACACAGCAACAGAAGTCGTTGTTTACAATATTAAATCACACCATCCCATTAGTAGTTTAATCTCAATTTGCCTAGTACTCTTGGACAAAATTTCCTTTTTTTTTTTAATAAACTATTCTTTTTCTTAGAAACTGTTTATGATCCCAAGCCAAGATTTCACTCTTGAATTTTCTAAGTGAATTCTTCAGCTTACAGCTGTCCATCTGCCTTCAGCGAAAAAGCCACATTCCTCACTGGAACTGTTTTCACAACGGTGTTTTTAAGACATTCTTTTATTGCCAGGAAGATCTTCAACGGGTGCATCAATGAAGCACTTAAAATTTGCAACTCTCACCCCCAAACTCCCTCACTTCTGGAGAACATAACCAGCAAAATCAGAGTTGGAAAGGTGACCAAGTGAGCAGGTTTTTTTTTTGTTTCAATAATTAGTGACCAAATGGTCCAGTCAGGGCTACCAAGCAGCAAGCTTAAATTACAGGTTCTATTCTGCCACTTGTTTTAAAGATCTGAGAAAATGAGCTCATTTATCCATGCTTCAACATCCCAAATTATGAAGCAGAGATAAGAAAAAGGCAGAGTTACTTCTGTAACACAAAATCTAGAGGTGACAAGTGCTCACTGACTACCAGGACCGGTGCCTACCCCCTACATCCACCCGGTTACCACCTACCACAGGGAGACGATACTCCCCCGCCACAAAGGCCTGGAGCAGAGCCCACCAGGCAGGAACCCCTGTCCCCCCAACCCT